CAGAGATGGAGACATCAGTAAGATCGGGAAATACTCAGACATCAGAAGAATTTGGGTTTGAATCAGAATTCCTTCACATACCATTTCTGCTCTTTCTAAGTTTCAAGTTAAGCAACAAGTCAGTGTTTCAAACCTTGTTATTGATAAACAAAAAAATTCAACAATTTATTCCTTATACTTTTCTGATTATGAAAAGTTAAGAATGAAGTAGTATCTCTTGAGTTCCCCATGCGTACAATGAGGAGTTTATAGTTTGTCATTTTGTCTGCAGTCCAGTGACTCCCAAGTTTTGCTAACCTAACCTGGGGTGCAGAAGCAAAGAGTACATTTTGTACCATGTGTCGTATTCGAGAAGAATTTTTCACGTTTGCATTTGTATAACATGTAACCATACACACACACACACACACACACACACACACACACACACACATATATATATATATATATATATATATATATATATATATATTTTGAGACAGACTTGCTCTGTCGCCAGACACCAGGCTGGAGTGCAGTGGCGCAGTCTCGGCCCACTGCAACCTCCGCCTCCCGTGTTCAAGCAATTCTCCTGCCTCAACCTCCCGAGTAGTTGGGACTACAGGCGTGCACCACCACGCCCAGCTAATTTTTTTTTGTATTTTTAGTAGAGACAGGGTTTCACTATGTTGGCCAGGATGGTCTCGATCTCTTGACCTTGTGATCCTCCTGTCTCAGCCTCTCAAAGTGCTGGGATTACAGGTGTGAGCCACCGCTCCCAGCTTTTTTTTTTTTTTTTTTTTTTTTTTTTTTTTTGTTTTTTTTTTTTTTTTTTTTTTTTTTTTTGAGACGGAGTTTCGCTCTTGTTACCCAGGCTAGAGTGCAACGGCGCCATCTCAGCTCACCACAACATCCGCCTCCTGGGTTCAAGCAATTCTCCTGCCTCAGCCTCCCGAGTAGCTAGAACTACAGGCCCGCACCACCACACCCAGCTAATTTTTAGTAGAGATGGGGTTTCACCATGTTGACCAGGATGGTCTCGATCTCTTGACCTCGTGATCCACCCGCCTTGGCCTCCCAAAGTGCTGGGATTATAGGTGTGAGCGACCACGCCCGGCCCCACTTGTAACCATATTTATAAAAACTGTTGAGATTAACACTGTTCAACTCATTCACTGTTTACATGCTGTTCCCCACTTGGAGGTTCTAAACTTTGTTTACTTTCAGGTCAAATGAATTACGTTAAATTTTTCTTATGAAGTTGTGTGACGGAGACTGTCTTTATTTACTTTTGTGCATGAACAATAATTTGGCAGCGCAAATTGGTTCATGGCATTTCCTCTCAGCAGCTTCATATGCATTGCTGTGTTATCATCTGGCCTTACATATGGCAGATGAGTGCTCTCAGAACAACGTAACTTTTTCCTGTTTGTATTTTGGATTCTGTTTTATCTTTGAAGCAAAACTTTCCTATAGAGTACAGATACTTTTCTCTTATAGTATAAGCAACACACAATGGGTACCAGAATGTCCCAGAAAAGCATACATACTTTATCATGAAAAGGAAGGATGATGAAAGACGGATGGTCACACATACAACCTGGTAGAAGGAAGTCTAGCGTTTAGTTGCACAATGATGGACTCACCAAGTATCCCAAAAAGGAAGCTGAGAACCCAGATTAGCCCCCCTATCTCCTGATAGATAAATCTTCTGGATGATTCTGTTGATTATAGTGAGAAGGTAATGATACACAGTGAAAAATAATGATGCACAATAAAGTAATTATAAAACCAAGGTCAGACATCCCGTAACAAGATAATATGGGCATTTGGGCATAAAGGGGAAGTGCTGGGACTGGAGTTTAAGGTGGAAAAGGGGTAGGAGGAAGGAGGAACTGTACTGCTTCTGTTACATTAGCCAGCTTCTCTACCTTGACATTATACCTGCCAGATCTATTGAGAGGTAAGAGCTTTTAGCTGGAAGTTCTTCTTTTTTTTTTTTTTTTAATGGACTCTGATATTTTTACACTGAGGACATATAACAGTCTCAAGATTGGATTTTGTTTTCTTAATAAATTATTCCCAAACTTGTATTATTTCACTGAGTCTTCTTATTGCTATGTTAATCAGACTAGACGATTGTAACAAATTATAATTATTGTTTCTGCAGTAACAAACGACTCCCAAATCTTAGTGGCTTACAACAAGCAAGGCTTGCTTCTTCCGCCTACCACAGTCAAATGGGAGCGCTGCATCTTTTCTCCTTGTCTGTAACTTATGTGGGAAGAGCAATCCCTATGCCTGTACCCGTGGCAGAGGCAAAGAGAGGCTCTGGCAAACCATGCACTGCCTCTTAGAGTCGTCACTCAAAAGCGACCTGAGCCACTCATCCCATTTCATTGTTTTAAGTGAGTCACATGCCCCAAACTAATTTTAATTTCAAGGGTGCAGTATTGTGTGATCCTATTGAGGTGTCTGAAGGGAGCAGAAACAGAAATACTGGTGAACCAAGCAAATGACTACCATTGTGTGTTGTTTCTTGTTCTTTCTCTTGCTGTTCAAAATATTTTTCAGACTTTATATATATTTTGTTGTTGTTGTTTGAGACAGAATCTCGCTCTGTCACCCAGGCTGGAGTGCTATGATGCAACCTCAGCTCACTGCAAACTCCGCCTTCCAGGTTCAAGTGATTCTCCTGCCTCAGACTCCTGAGTAGCTAGGATTACAGGTGCGCACATCATGCCTGGCTAATTTTTTTTTTTTTTTTTTTTTGTATTTTTAGTAGAGAGGGCGTTTCACCATATTGGCCAGGCTGGTCTCGAACTCCTGGCCTCAAGTGATCCACCTGCCTCAGCCTCCCAAAGTGCTGGGATTACAGGTGTGAGCCACTGTGCCCAGCCTCTATGTCACTTTTTTTTAAAATAACTTTTTCCTCCCCTAAACATAGAAAGGCTCTAACCAGGCCTAGTTCTAACACGTCAAGTTATCAGATTATATTCTTTTATAACACTATTGATCCGTGTCACAAAAATGTTACTGAGCACTGATTCTAGGCATTGGAAAAAAAGACATTAAAATGAATTTAGCAAGGGTAAATGTAAAACACTGCATACCTTGTACAAATATAAAAGGGGTTATAGTTTTATGGGTTGTTTTGATGATGAGCTCATTGAGGTCTAATAAAGTGTTAGTGCTGCTAAATTTAAAAAAAGCAAATATAATGTCAGGTTGTATGAACAGCAGCATTGTCCAGGTCAAGTGTCTAGTGGCACTACTGCAGAGCCCAGGTCTGACCACTTCTGGAATATCATGGATTTTTATAGCATGTGAGAATTCTGGGAGATACAATTCAAGTTAAGGTTTGGGTGGGGGCACAGCCAAACCATATCAAATAACTAAAGGATACTAGGCATAATCCCTGGGTAATGAAATAATCTATGCAACAAATCTCCATGGCAGACATGAAATATGACCGATCCAGATTGAGGTGTGCAGTAGCTATGAAACACGCATTGGGTTTTGAAGACTTCCTATGAAAAAAATATTGTAAAATATTTTCATAATCAAAACACAATGACATTTTTTATATTTTGCGTTCTATTTAATATGTTATTAAAATTAATTTTACCTATTTATTTTTATTTGTAAAAATATGGTTACTAGAACATTTTAAATTTTGGGTGCAGCTTGCATTGTATTTCCACTGGACAGTGTTAATGTCATTTTTCATTATTCATATCTTTCTAGAAGCTTCAAAAATTATGTTTCATATGTGTGCATTTGTTTTAGATTAACAGTTAGTTACTAAGAGGGAGTCATTAAAGAATTATTCTTGGACCAGGCACGGTGGCTTATGCCTGTAATCCCAGCACTTTGGGAAGCCAAGGCAAGCAGATCACCTGAGGTCAGGAGTTCAAGACCAGCCTGGCCAACATGGTGAAACCCCATCTTTACTAAAAATACAAAAAGTTAGCTGGGCATGGTGGCAGGTACCTGTAATCTCAGCTACTCGGGAGGCTAAGGCAGAAGAATCGCTTGAGCCCAGGAGGCGGAGGTTGCAGTGAGCCGAGATCGCACCAACTCTGTCTAAAAAAAAAAAGAATGATTCTTTCCTAGTCCCAATTAAATATTGGGGTTGACTTCCAAGGAAAATATAGCCCATTTGTGTTGAAATAAAGGAAGAGCAAGCTCCGGAAAACAGGAGCCTGTTCTGCACAACTGGAAAAGGTGTATATGTAGAAACCCAGAGGAGGGTGGGGTAAAAAGCAAGTCTGTTGAAAGGGTGCTTTTATCCCTCAGCATGTCAGAGGAGTATAGTCCTCAACCCTGCAATGTGCCAGCCAGCCCTGGTCCTGGTAAGGTGGGGTAAAGACAAGATCCACCTCTCTTACTTCATCCTTTTCGGTCTCTGCTTGGTAAAGTGTCTATACTTCTTGTAATGCTTATGGTGATACTATTGAAGCTTTTAGGGGAACTGTGGAACTGAGAAAAAGCAAACGAATTGTCTGTGAGTGAAAGGAAGTAAAATAAATAAATAAGAGCCTAAGTTGAGACTGCTGAGAAATGACCATAACCCTATATACATGTAATTGTTTTCCATGATGAACTCAAGAATTGCTCTCAGGTTTATATACGAACATGTTGTAGTGGTACACTTCCTACAAATACATATGAAAGTGACTCTTTCTCTTTTCCTTAGAAGTCCAAACATCCTTCTAGTTGATCTCTTTGTATCTGGTCTCTCTCTCTTCCCAAACAGCCTGAACACCACTCCCATATTAAACGTTCTAACATTTCATGTTTACGCCTTCACGTTCTTGCTCAGTCTTCCATTGCTTCCCTTTGCCTAGATTAGAAGAATTTCAAATATTTCAGTTTAGTACCAAACAGCCTTTCATAATTGAACCTTTTTAACTATCAGCCTTGATATTTCCCCATCCAGCTGACCTTTCTAGTGACGTGTTTTCCTCTCTTACCGCTCCTTCCCACAGGATCCCTGACTTGTTTCCTTTATTCTTCAGATCCTGTCTCCATTCCTCTCAGCCGCATCTCCATGCATGCATCTCCATCCCATGAAATCTCTGCCCACTCCAGCCCATGAACAGCAGCTCACAGGGATAGCCATGTCTTCCTCCAAGCTGTATGCAAGTGTGGGTCACAAGATACCAGTCATAAAGCGATTGAATAAAAATGGTCGTCAGCTGCTGCCAGCTGAAAGATTATCTTTCACAGGAAGTGTCTAGATGACATTGTTTTATGCAAAGGAAGAAGCTGATTTTATTGCAAGTTCAAACAGAAAGGAGTCTTCCACTATCAGTGAGTATAAAATGCACTCTTCTTCCCCAGGGGCATGGGAGAAAAGCATGGATTCAGTTAGATGCTGAAGGCGCGAAATGCAGGCTAGAGCACTCAGGTTCCAGAGAAAGGAGCTGCGGTGTTACATATTTTCATGAACAAGAAATCAGGCAGTCAGCATTTCTGAAACACACTCAAGAGGGATAAACTCTTCTACAGTTATGTGTACGTATATTTTAGTAATCCTGTATTTGGCCAAGTCAAAGACAAAAAAGGTACCTTTGATTACTAAGAATTCTAAATGAAGAAATAGACAAACCAAGGTAGAATTATAGAAGTTGAACAGAACATAGAATAAAAGATCGAGATGGGGCCCTGACATTTTCTATGGCTGCACCAAAACAAGATTATCCATGGAAAATTCTTGATTAAGAAGAAACTGGAAACTGGTACCAGAATCCCTGGTAAATCATTTTAATTTTTCCTATTTAAATAGAGGGTAAGTTGTACCTACTTCTAGTAAATGTGTGTGCAGTCTCCTGTCTTTCACATTAAGGATCAGCAAACAAAAGCCTGTTTGCCCACAGGTCTAACTTCTGCTTTTGTAATTAAAGTTTTATTGGAACTCAGTTACATCCATTTATTTGCTTGGTGGCTTTCACACTACAACTGCAAAGTACATTATTTGCAACAGAGACCGTATGGCTCATAAGACCTAAAAAGTATTCACTATCTGGCCCTTTATAGAAAAAGTAGGCAGACAGCTGTTGTATGTGAAGAACCTCTCTTGCCATTGTTTTTCATTAGCCATTATCGAAGTGGGTTCCATGTAATGGCATTATTAGGTGTTACTGGGTAGGAATAGTCTAGGCTTATGCTGCAGTAATGAACAACCTCAGAATCTCAGGGGCTTAACACACAGAGCTTACTTTCCACTCATGCAAAGTTTGCTGCAGACAGTCTCCAGGGTGCTTGTCCTCCATGGGGTGACTCAGTGATCCAGGCTGCTTTCTTCCTGTGGCTCGACTGTGTCAATGTTCTATCTTCACAGCTTTCACTCGCTAAGGAAAGGGAGGTACAGCCCATAGACAACTCACACCTATTCTCATGTCACTTCTGCTCACAGCCCCATTGGGCAGAACCAGTCACGGGCCGCTTCCTACTACAAGATGCCTGGCAACTGTGCTCTTCCTGTGAGCCTAGGAAGAGAACTGGAGCTTGGTGATCATGAATAATGTTTATCACAATGATAACAAAAGGATGACTGTGGTCAAATCAGTTTGAAAGCATTGAGTTGACTAAAATTCTATAATTCTCTTCATGTTATAAATTCGCAGTGGCTTTGCTCCGCTTACATTGTTATGAATGACCAAAATACAATCACTTTAGGCTATCTGTCTTTCCTGTACTGTATAAGTCTTTCTCATGCAGGAATTACAGTTTTGCAGAGCACACTTGGGCGATGCTCTTCTCTCTCTGTCTGTGAGGACCAGATGCTCCCTGCCTAGTATGAAGGATTTGAGTACCTTAGTGTGGGCAAAACAAACAGGAATTTCTTTCTGAAGAGGTTTCTGTCTGGGTGCATCTGAGGCTAAATTACTACTGCATAATGCCCAACACCAGGCTACGTGCTTATGCACAGCTAGATGGAAAACAGGTGGGTGCTGCACTCAGCATAAAGTACAAGAAAGTTGACTTAAAAATCCCTAGCCTAAGGCCGGGCGCAGTGGCTCAAGCCTGTAATCCCAGCACTTTGGGAGGCCGAGGCGGGTGGATCACGAGGTCAGGAGATCGAGACCATCCTGATCAACATGGTGAAACCCCGTCTTTACTAAAAATACAAAAAAAAAACATTAGCTGGGCATGGTGGCGCGTGCCTGTAATCCCAGCTACTGAGGAGGTTGAGGCAGGAGAATTGCCTGAACCCAGGAGGCGGAGGTTGCGGTGAGCCGAGATCTCACCATTGCACTCCAGCCTGGGTAACAAGAGTGACACTCCGTCTCAAAAAAAAAAAAAAAAAAAAAAAATCCCTAGCCTATCCTTTTTGTACCCTTTTTGACCTCATGGTATCTCTTTCTGTTCAGCTGTCCGAAGCTGTGCTTTATTCTTTCCTTCTCTAGTAAAATCTGCAATAATTTGACTTCGATTCAATCATATTGATTTGTTATTTTGACCACGTGCAGCTTCCAAGCAAGGAGTTGCAGTTGCACAGAAGGGTTTGTAGGAGTGGGGTGAGGAGAGGTGTGGAGAGAAGTGATGGAAGAAAAGGAAAAGGACCATGTATTTTCCTTGAAATGTAAAACCAAGGCTTGCTTGGAGGTTGCTATGACAAGCATGTCTTTCAAAATTCAGACATTGAAGCCGTAGCCCTTGATGTGACTGTATTTGGAGATAGGGCCTTTAAGGGGTAATTAAAGTTAAATGAGGTTATAAGCATGGGATCTTAATCTGATAGAGACTTTATAAGAAGAGGAAGAGAGCGAGAACTTGCTTTCTCTCTCTCTCTCTCTCTGTCTCTCTCTCTCTCTCTCTCTCTGCATGTGCTCAAAGGAGAGCTATATGTGAACTGCAGCAAGAAGGTAGCTCTCTGCAAGCCAGGGAGAGATCCCTCTTTGGAACTTAGACCCTGCAGGACCTTGATCTTGAACTTTCCAGCCTCCAGAACTGTTGGGAAAGAAATTTCTGTTGTTTAAGCCACCCAGTCTGTGCAATTTTGTTATAGTATCCTGAGCAGACTAATGCAGAGGTGAAAACCTGTCCTCCCCTCTCTCCAAAGTTGGGGAATTTGGTTCTGTGGCAATGTTGGAGGTGACGTGCTTCAGCTGCTGAAGATTTGGGATCTAGTGACCCTGGCCTTGAAGTTCAGCTGCAGGATGGAGCCAACATCACCCAAGCTCAAGTCCATTCTGCTTCTGCTTCCCCAACACAATGAGGTTCCTACACTTCCACAGCAGGGGAAGAGGCAAAGAGGATCTGGGGCTGGGGTTGGAGCTACAGGTGGAGGAAATACACAGGCAAGGTTATGTGAAGAAAGAAGAAGCCAGAAGAAGGGAGTTCCTTAATGTTGGAGCATAACATCCAAACCTTGTTATAAAGCACATGAGATTTTTGGGATGCCTGCATGATCAAGCTTATACTTTATCAGAGGAATTGTTGACACTGATTATAGATGTCGAAAAACTCAGTATTTAGAGGAGAAAATTGATAAAAGTTTTACTTGGTTATGTAAAAATAATACTGAGAACAGTCATTTATGTGGTTATTTATGCATTTTGCTGTGCAGCAAAATGAATACTATGCAGCATTTAAAATTTGCGTAAACTGCCTTTGATTAAGCTTCACAGCCAGTGACTCATGGTTCGCAATTAAAAAGATTTCGGTGACCATTAATGTGTCTCACTTCTTTTGTCACTGACTCAGACGGTGTTGTCTTACAAACTTTTGCATGTGCGCTATTTATTTTGTCTCCTCAGATACACCAGAAGCAAATTAAAGTTATATTTTTACGATTTTCTTAAAATTGTAACACATAGCAGATTCTGAGTAAATAAATATCCAAAAAAATAGTATCCATAACAAAAATTAATTTTATTGTTTGTACTTTCTTTTATACATGAGATTTTTAAACCCTTCTTTAAATGTCAAAATAGAGCTCTTAAAAATAGAAATACTTTTCGAATTAAAGCATCAAAAGGGACTTCAGATGTTATTCGATTCAGTCCCTCCAAATTGGATTGAATTGGACTTTTAAGCCAATTGGTTAATTAAGCTAAAAAATAAACAATTTAGAGATATTATTTTCAGGTCTCTTAATTTCTTGCCAGAACAACAGATGTGCAATTCTCAAAGAGATCATTTACCATGGGCTTTAAATATTACCACAGTAAATATCTTTTCTTAATGACTTCGTCTATTCTTTTGCAATAAATCACTGTATTCCAATGCTTTCAGGAAACGTTGTTTATGCATCTCTGTGGTTGTTGTATCTTGCCTTTGATGGTGTTGGTTTTGTGATACAGTGAAGAAAAATGTGAACTCCTTAAGGATAAAGGTGTGTTTACTCTTGTGCCTTCATAAAATATCTGTTGACTTCTGGAATTCCCTAGGCTTTTAAAATAATACATTTTTTGAATAGATGAAAATTGTATCTATTTATGGTATATAACTTGATGTTTTAATTTATGTATACATTGTGGAATGGCTAAATCAAGCTAATTAACATGTCTTCACCTCATATACTTATGAGTTTTTCATAAGAATGTGGCACATATATACCATGGAATATTATGCAGCCATAAAATAATGAGATTGTGTCCTTTGTAGGGACATGGATGAATCTGAAAGCCATCATTCTCAGGAAACTGACACAAGAACAGAAAACCAAACACTGCATGTCCTCACTCAAGGGTGTTGAACAATGAGAACACATGAGCACAGGGAGGGGAGCATCACACATGGAGGTCTGTTGGGCGGGGGGAGATGCTAAGGGAGGGATTGCTGGGAGTGGGGAGGTTGAGGACGGATAACATGGGGAGAAATGCCGGATATAGGTGACAGGGGGGTGGAGGCAGCAAACCACCTTGCCATGTATGTACCTGTGTATCAACCCTGCAAGATCTACACATGTACTCCAGAACATAAAGTACAATTTAAAAAAAAGGAAAAAAAAGAACGCTTAAAATATACTCTCGTAGGCAGGGCACGGTGGCTCATGCCTGTAATCCCAGCACTTTGGGAGGCCAAGGCAGGCAGATCACGAGGTCAAGAGATTGAGACCATCCTGGCCAACATGGTGAAACCTCTTCTCTACTAAAAATACAAAAAAAATAGCCTGGCGTGGTGGTGCGTGCCTGTAGTCCCAGCTACTCAGGAGGCTGAGACAGGAGAATTGCTTGAAACTGGAAAACGGAAGTTGCAGTGGGCCGGGATAGCGCCACTGCACTCCAGCCTGGCGACAGAGCGAGACCCCGTCTCAAAACAAACAACAACAACAAATATATATATATATATATATATATATATATATATACTCTCGTAGCAATTTTTAAGTATGCAATATATTGTTGTTCACAATAGCCACAAGGATGTCTGCTTGATTGATATCTTGAACTTTTTCCTCCTGCCTAATGGACATTTTGAATCCTTTACCAATATCACCCCTAGTCCCTGGGAGTTTAGTCTTGTAGGCCATATACTGGCATGAGCAAGGTCACCTCAGATGTTAGGGCTTCTGATTGACTGACTAGTGTCTCTTTATGACATCTTTAAGCTAAAAAGGCTAAGGAAAGTGAACTATGGAACAACATTTATTTTATCTGAAAAATGTACACATATGATATTTTGGTAAAGTGTATTTTCCTCTGATGCACATATATAATATTTTTATGTCTGTATTTTGCTCATATTTTAATTTCAAGTTTTAATTCCATTTTAGATATTCTGCTTTGTGTAGCCTCCATCATAGCCCTTGCTCCCATATCTGTTGACTTTGATAATTGACATCCAAGTTCAGTGGTCATCTCCTCAGCACCACTGGTTCTAAAAGCAAAACAACTCATCCTTATTCTAGTCAATCTGTGGCATACTTGTGTGTTTTCTTTGTTGAAGACAAAAAATAAGAAATTACCTTATAACACTAACCCAACCAAATTCACTATTACACAGTACACCCATGTAATAAACCTGCACGTGTATCCTCTGAATCTGAAATGAAAATAAAAATAAAAATAAGAATAACCTGAGCTCTTAAAAAATTACCTCATTCATATCTTTTTTTCTTTGTTCATTTTCTATGTCCCTTTGGCACTCCACCACCTGTAACAAGCCCACACGCTGGCGTGTAAAGCTCCGTGGGAGACAGGTCCTTGTCTTTCTGGTTTCGAAGCTGCAGCTCAGAATCTGGAATAGTGCCTGCCACATTGTAAGCCATCAAAAAGTGTGTGTTAAGTGAAGGGAGGATAAAATCACACTCCCCCAGTGTCAATGAATCCGATGGGATGTGTTTGTGTTTATGGTGAAGGATGGGTTATCATAAATCATAAACCAACCCAAGACTAGGGCAAGCCTCCACTAAAATCCTATTAAAGTAAATGAAAGCCTGAGGGCTTCTGTGGAATGGCAGCTGCTCTCATTTCAGAATGGGCCTAGTTTCTCATTCAGCCAAAAGTCTTGTGCACAATTTCTCCCCCATAGCTCATTTCTTCCGTAATCCTTTTTGATGGAGATCCTTGCTTCGTCCCAGTACAATGACATTTCTTTCATGGCTGGGCTGACTGCCAAGGGCCCAGATAAAGCAGAAACTGGAGTGGAATATTCTTTTCTGGAATAGCTATAACCTTCCAGCTGCTTGGAGTTGTGTTATCTTCCGGGAGAATGACAGTCTGTTTCTCTCTTAGAAATGGAGAGGCTTTTCCACATTCCCATAGCATGTCTCCAATGGAGCAGGGAACAGATCCTTAAGTACCTTGGGAAGGGACTGGTCTTCCTGGAATTTTGGATACTCCAAAGCTTCCCAGACCATGCCATTCATCCTTCAGCTACTCAGTGCAAAGTTGTCCTACTCATGCTCGAATTTCTTTTCCTGGCCAGGAAGCGACTTCCAGGATTCTCTGAGAAATCATAATAGGAAGGGAATTTTCTCCCACCTTTCACTTAGGCATCTCAGTAAAGCAAGGGTCAGGGGCAACCAATTCCTGATTTCAGCAAAGCTGAAATAAAGCCATTTGAAGTCACTCTGTTGGAAAATAACATTAGGGCCCTAGAGAGAGTACATGGGAATTATGAATGGTGCAATCCTCAGACTGGGATTTTTGCCAGCATCCAGGTCAATTTAAGGTGGGTTCTCTCTGGAACACCTTTTTCAGGCACCCAGGTACGAGGACTGGATGAGGCAGGAGAGTGAAGGTGTGGCATGGGGAAGAGGAGGAGCGGAGAGGACTGTATGGGGCATAGGGACATGGTTTCTATTGCCTGAAGAGTATCTTCAATGTTGAGTCCTTTGATTTGATAATTCAGCCTCTTTTCATCTTTATGATATTTTAGAACTAAATATTTGAAGGAAATATGCTATGAACATTAAAGTTTCTATTCTGTAGAAACGAAACCAACCACCTCTTTCTCAACCTGATTTTTCTTTTTAGGAGTAGCCATTTTATGATTTCAGGTTTTCCTGTGTTCTGTTCTATACATTGACATTTTGGCCAAGCTTTCTGACATTCTCAAACTACTATTCTGGAGGGGATAAAAAGTTAATTTGAGTTTTCTGCTATTCAACGCATTTTCTTTTCCCTTACAAAATTACCTTGTATCTCCTCTTCTCACAAAATGCTAGCAATCCAGATATTGTTGAGAATATTTTAGAGAATTGACCTTTCTAGGTTGTTAAACTCTTTCAGCTCCTGGAAAAATAGATTACTTTAGAGGGGGGCTAAAGGGCTAAAGGAAGTCTTACACCTGCTACAATTCCCACTGCTAATGATTTTTATAGATGTGTTTCTCTGGATTCATTGTTGGAATGAATAATGAAAGGGGAGAAGAATAGACTCACTTGGTTGTTTGTCCTCATGCATATTGATTCATAAAACTAAAGACCTCAAGGGAACATTGTGAGCTAAATCCCTTCATCCCCCTGTCTCCAGGGAAGAATTTACTTGGATACTTCAAGACAGAAGGTCGACTGCACTTAACAGCCACCATAAGAAACTCTGCCTCTTTCTTTAGCCGTGTGCCTCAGTGTCTTATCAATTCTTGCAGGCAGGTAATTATTCATAAACTCTAACTTAAATAATTCCAAAACTCAGTAAAAAATGTGTTTGTCTATTTTATTTACTCCTGTATCTGCAATTTCTTGAGAGAATGATTGGCATCTAGTAGGCACTAACTAAGTGCCTTTTCGAATAAATGAATAAATAACTGAATGAATAAATAAGAATTAAGTTATATAACAGAGAAGGTGGCATAATCATTCAAGTTACCAAGTATTATTGAGAATTATTCGAGGCATACTGCTGTTTCGGCACTGTGTGGAGTTTGCAGACATGAAAGGGAAGAGTTTGTTAACCCTGGGTTTTGATTGTTTCTCGCAATCTAATAAGGGTGTGTCTCTAAACACAAGTAACCACAATCCAAAGAAGATTATGAAAGGTATAATCTAAAGCATAAAGAGGGAGCATGAAATAAATGCATGTGTTTGTGTTAGGATGAATAAAGATGGCATAGAGATAAGATGATGACAGGTTTTGAACTACTGTGGGACTTGGAGGTTGAAGGCCTTTCCAGGCAGAGGTGAGACACACAGTAAAGGAGGGGAAGGAAACCGCAGGGTTGGATCCACAGCCACATAATCTGGTGCGTCTTGAGGGCTTTGCATGGCTGTGTACGTATGTGATGGCGTTGGTGATGTGATGTATATGATGGAGCAGGTGGAAAAAAGCAGGAAAGGTTTGCTGGGTCTTCTAAAGACAGCTACTAGTAAGTTCAGAGAAAGGAAAGAATTATTCATGTCATGCAATCCCATACTGCAGGTACCATTAAGTCTAGATTTTTTTGTCTGTTTTGTTTACAATTGTATCTGTGGCTGGAATGGTGCCTGAAACATGGTTAATGCTGGATAAATATTTAGTGACTATGAAATACTAGTACTCTGAGGATGGCAAACACAGGTCATGCCTTTGTGAAACTGTTTGATTCCTTCTTGGTTTATATTCCCCCTGCCAAAGAACCTGCTTTCAAACTAGAAAAAAATCAAACAGTTATCAATAAAGGATATCTGGCTGAGTGTAGTGGCTCATGCCTGCAATCCTAGCACTTTGGGAGGCCAAGGCCAGCCTGCGCAACATGGCAAGACCCCTTCTCCACAAAAAATACAGAAATTAGCTAAGAATGGTGGTGTACATCTGCAGTCCCTCCTACTCTGGAGGCTGAGCGGTGATTGTGCCACTGCCCTCCAGCCTGACAGAGAGTGAGGACCCGTCTTAAAAATAAGTAATTAAATAAATATAGGATATTTAAGGCTAAGGCAGTAAAATAACATCTATATTCTTGGAATAATTTCAATATTTTGGGCTTTGGAGACATAATATATTTGGATACTGAAATAATTTCAGTTATAATTTTACAACTACTATCAATATGTTTTTGAGAACTTATGGAAAATAGCAAAGGTAACAGGAAAATGTATTGGCTAACATTGGCCCAACTTTTGAAAAGCAAATTCTACTGAGCAATATACTAGATATTGCTTGGTGGGTAGATCCTCTATAGTTCTAAATTATTATTAATTGGGTTATTTATAAGCACTTGGTGGCTGTTAGTTTTAGTTAGGCTGTACCACTCCTGGCTGGATGGTGGCTGGGGAAAGCTGCCATGAAGAGTTGGATCATAGAGGTAAGTATGTTCCAGCTATGCATTTTAAGAACAGCGTAGCAGCAGTAAAATCAGCATGGTGTATAGTCATTGGAATGGGTTAAGCCTTCTTGACTAATAGTAATAAACCCATCAGTAAGACAGTGGTCAGGTTATAAATGACCGAAGTTCTGCAAACATAGATGATGGCTGTAAAAATAGAGGATAATGTGTAGCTGAAAATTACCTTGGAACTGTAGTCTGGCAGATGGATATATACATAGTAGCAAATAACAGAACCTCTAGTCAGATTAATTTAAATGAGTTCCTAATATGTCTTCTAATACATAACCCAAGCTTGCCCACGAAAGTCTCCATTGTAGAGGGTTATTGTGAATTTCAAGTCAGTTAATGCTTGGTGAGCTCTGAGAGCAATGTATGATATAAAGTAAGGATTTAATTTTTTAAATTATTATTATAGTACTATAAACATCTTCAAATAAAATATTTATAAAAATTCAGCTGTAATTAGAAAATGACCTTCTTACATTTTATGAATAAAAAGTGAGAATGAGCAATAGTGCAAATATATTTGTTGATTTCTATAATTATTTCATACATTCAGGCAACAAACATTTAGTGAATACCTTCTATCTGCTAGCACTACCCTGGATGCTAGAGATGGAAAGATAATTACGGCAATGTATTTATTCTTAAAAAGCTTAGTCTATGGTAGGATCTGATAATCATAGCATGTATAACAACTAAACAACTTTAATACATATGTCTGATTTATAACTATCTCTGTTAGATCATAAGTTTCTGGAGGGACAAACTGCTTCATTTCCATGTTTACATCTCTAATAGCTAGAACACAGAATGTTTCCTAATATATGCTCCATATATGAATGCTGATATCTGATCACCTCAAAATGGACTCTTTGAAATTCAAAATGTGACACAGCAAATTTTTTTTTTAATGCAAACTGAGCTTTCAAGAGAAACAGAAATGCTCCAGTTGCCAAGATGGAAGATGGACTGAAAACCATAGTTGTGAACTCATGAGTTGATGCTGCAGCTACTCTGGCTGATGGTCCCAAGCACAAAGGACTTGTGCTTTAATGCCATGAGGCCCAGGAGTGAACTACTAAAGGATGGACTTCATAAAAAAGAAAACTGAATCCAAAGAAATGATTCCTAGACAAGACACATTTCTGAGCCAGGAAATAAGCATTGACTATATAAAATGTTATTTATAAAGATTATTTTAGTGACAAGAAAGCAAAATGAATTAAAATATGGGCACAAAGAATGTGTAAGATTGTAGGAAATGGTGTTCTGGAGGGAGAAGGAGATAATCATCAAATTAAGACTTTGTTAGTGTGCAAACTAAAAGTTTAAAGGTAACTTTTACTAAATAGATTATATGATTTCCAAGCTAGTAAAGGGCAAAACAATGATTAAAGAAAACCCAATAATTAATAGAAGGCAGAAAAAAAGAAAAAAAAAGAAAAAATGTATGGTAAATTACAAACACTAAATAAGATGATAGAAATAAATCTCAATCACAATTTTTAAATAAAATGAGTACAGATGGCTTACATTTGCAATTAAAAGTAGAGATTTTCAGATTGGATTTCAAAAATCTAGGGTAAGTTTATTTAAAGACACATAATTATTTTAAAAAAACAGCTCAGAGAAGTTGGAAAAAAGTGGGAAAAGATACACCAAGCAAATACTAAATTAAAAGGAAGTTGATAAATCTATATTAATATCAAAAAACCCTATGTACCACAACATTTATATAATTAGGTTGGTGCAAAAGTAATTACTGTTTATGTCATTACCTTCAATGGCAAAGGCTGCAATTACTTTTGCACTAACCTATTTATACAATAAACAGATATATTTTAATTTGAGCCTATGAAAGTTACTTTTGGAATATAAATATATATTCACTATAAAGGAATTACCGTTTTTCAGAGCAAAGACCATGAACTTTAGGATTTAGAGTCTGAGTATGAATTTTAGTTGATTGTACTAATACTTATATAATAGTAACCAGACAATAATAAAAATTTATATCATCTTTCAGCTACTCTATAAGTACATTTTAAAATTTAACTTTATCTTCTGAGTCATTCTTACTATTCCTATTTGAAAGATGAAGAAATTGAAGCTGATGGAAATTAAGAGATTTGCTCAATGACATGAGCCAACATGGGACTCAGATCCATACCTGTGTGATGTCCCAGTAGTGCTTTTAATCATGATGCTCCTGGGGCCTTGGTTTGCATAGAAACTCCTTGATAGATGTGAGAAGAACCTTGGGGACAGTTGAGCAACCCAGAGTAGAAGTAAAGATCTCAAGCACTGAGCAGTTTGACTAAGTGTCCACCGACGAGCCACCCAAGTGATGTGGAAGGAAATGGGGAAGAAGGACCTGTCCATCTTAGAGGTCTTTATTATGGTTGGGGAACTCAGCTGGAGCCTTGGAGTCAGTGAGTACTTCCATGAGTTATGGAAATAGGCAGTGCCAGCAGTAAATTCAATTTGTTCTGAAACATCCCTGCTATTCATTCCTAGGGCCACCACCCATAATTGCCCTCTATGTAAGGGTGAGTGGACAAGGGACCAAGTGAGTACTCCAACTTCCCAGGAGAAACAGATGCATTTTTTCTGATTCCCCACAGAGGCTGAATGGGTTAGTGGCATTTCTGGCTGCTTCTTTCATCCTAGTAGCCTAAACTCTAGAGTGCTATCTGAGTCCTAGTCTTTCCACACGTTGATGTTTTAGGGTTCTATAATGGCCATTTGGAAGATTTTTCTCTGCGGGATGCCTAGAGAAGTCTCCTTCAGTTGCCTAGAGAAGTCCCCTTCAGTTTCAATATCTTAAAAATGGATGTCTTTTGATTGGCATAAATTCATTCAGGCCCTTCTGGAATTTCCATTGCAAATGTCTAACATGCTTGAAATTATGGCTGCTCAGACAGCAGTGAGTGCTGCTGCAGGCATCTTGACCATCAGTCACTGGACAGTGGGAGGGAGTTTTAAAGTCTTTGTGCGTCTGGCATCCTCTCCTGACCCCATTTTCCAGGCAGAAATCTAACATCAGCCACACCACTGACACATGGGAGCTCTTTCAGCATTTCAATTGCTAACATTGAGCTTGTCTAGTTTCACACTGAGCCCACACCCAACACCTCTCTGTCATCCCACTTCACTTGGTATAATGCTTGTTTTAATTACACGTAGTTGACTTCGTAATTTATTTGACTTGGTGGGTGATATGGTTTGGCTGTGTCCCCACTCAAATCTCATCTTCAATTGTAGTTTCTATAATTTCCATGCTTTGTGAGAGGGACGCAGTGGGAGACAATTGAATCATGGGGGCTGTTTTCCTCATTCTGTTCT